GGGCGCGCCCCGGGGCTGGGGTTTTCCCCTTTCTGGTTTTCTGCGGCGGCGTGTCTCCCTGCTCGGGCAGCTGGCGTGCCCGGCGGCCGGTACGGGTGCCGGAGCCCCGTTCCTAGGGTTACGATCCGAAACGGGGCTTCGAGCGGGGCGCTGGCTTAGAGAAAACGTAAATGTTTTCTTTGGGAATCCGGGAGGGTTCTCAAGGCCTCGTGCGTTGCCTTTCCCTTGATCCTCGCAGATGTTGTAGATTAGGGTCGAATGTAAGCCTTGCCTTCCCCCCAGCACTCGGGCAGTCCTGCTGGCGCTGGTCTACGGAGAGCTGCAGAGTTTTATCGCTACAGAAAATATGCATTGTAGAAATTTTTTCTTTAGTGTTTTTTTTTTTTGTGCGTTCCCAAAGCAAGAAGAGATGCACTGGTCACATGTTTAAGTGGAAACTGTGTCTCTGAGCCAAAACTTGGATGCTTTTTAATTATTTTTCCCATACAACACAGCAGTGGAACATTTTTACTTTTAAGTTGCGTGTCATGCTATTTTCCTAATCACTGACTCGCCGTGTGGTAAACACAGACTTTAATGGGAAGAGCTGGTGTACTCTGTCAGACCGGTCGACTTCCCCCTCAGATATCCCAGCGCTGTGTCCGGTTTTCCTTCCAGGAGACGCTCGACACCGGAGAGCCGTCAGGGGCCCTGTATTTATTATAGGATACATCCCAGACACTCCGTATTGTTAAAGATCCTCTGGGTGGTTTTTTTAGTGGTTTTGTGTTGAGTTTGGTTTTTTCCACAGTTGTTGCACCCTTTTCTAGAACAGTTTTTGGTGCCGCTTACTGCCTGTGGTTACAGATGTAGCTGAAGGTCTGGAGGGGAGCGGAGAGGCGACGGGGTGCGGTGTAGAAACTCCTTGTGAAGACGGGAAAGGGAACCACGGAGCCAAAGCCTGACATGTTCCCGTGCTGCCTGTGTGTCGAAGCTGTGAGCTTTTTAGCCTGTGGCGAGACTCGCTGGAGACTCCCTCGGCTGCGGGGCTGGGGAGCCTCCTCTCCAGCCCTGTTGCTCTGAGGCAGAGGAGGGACTGACCTCAGTTCTTGGCACTTATTTCTCTTTGCTGTTTAGTTGTTATTTTTTTTTTTAATGATGCCTTCATCTGCGTGTTGCTTGGGTCAGGAGGAGAGCAGTGGCTTCGTGGCTGAGCGCGTGCTGCTTGTGTAGCCCTGCAGTCTGGTGATCGCCACGTCTCTCCTGTAGCGCTGTGAAGTCCTCGTAGATAAGGAGAACTGAGAGCTGGCAGAGAGTCATCTCCAGGAGCCTCTCCCGGGTCGGGAAGGGAGAGCTGGGGATGTCCTGGGTGAGGACATGGCAGGAGGGGGTCTGGGAAGAGGAGGAACGGGGAGGTGGGTGAGGGCAGGCGGTGCTGCCAGGGGGACTGAAGCTCTCTGAAGGAGGGAGCAAGGTCGGGGCTGCAGTTTGGGGAAAGATCTGCAGCTCTGAAGTGAGAAGGCAGGTGCCCAAAGGGACCGCGCAGGGGAGGTGGCAGGGAATTCAGGGCCTGCCATGGAGACCAGCAGTGTCCCAGGGGTCAGAGCTGACGGCCGCCGGGCGGAGGGTCGGGGGCCAGCAGCGTTTTGGCTCATCAAAGCTGATCCAGTGCCGTGTCCTAGCAGGGAAAGCAAGGTTTGTGGGGACTGGTTGGGAAGCAATGCCTGAGCACCCCGTGCCTGAGAACTCACAGCAGCGTGTCCCTGAATTAGTTATCTGGGAAAAGTACTGCCTTTGGAAAGTACAGAATACGGGTTTGGGGATTTTTTTTTTTTAAGCTATTTTGGGGGATTGGAAAAGGAAGCTGGTGACAGAGATGGAGCACAGCATAGACAGGGGCTGTGGTCTGACTGGTCTATTCCCTGGGTCTGCAAGCAAGCCCCATGGAGCTGCGGAGGGACGCGGCTGAACTGAGCAGCTCCCCTGCGCTGCCCAGGAGGCCTCCACGAGAGATAGAGACAGGTCCTAGGTTAAATACAGGAGTGACTGCAAGCAGAGTAGTCGCTTCATCTGTAACTCGGAGCCAGATCTTTGTGTCAGACACTTGCACCTTACGTGGATGGGTTGATTCTCTCGACCCCTGATGGGAATTTTCAGCAGATCGTCGGGTGTCAGAGGCCGCAGTGACGTGGCACCACTGCAAAGGTCCTTTCCTTTTGCGTAGCAAAGCACCAAAAGATCTCTGTACATTTTGCAGCCACAGCTTTCTAGTGTCCCCGCAAAGAAGACAGGAGTCTTGCTCCTCTGCTTCTTGGGTACAGGAGGGATGGTGGCACAGCTAGGTAAAGGTCATGGTAGAAGCCACTTGCAGAGCTGGAAGCAGAGCTTGTGTCCCCTGAGCACCTGTAGTTTAACTAGTCTCAACCTTCCTCCCTTCTGTGAGGTAAGATCCCTTTGTGTTATGGTTGTGGAGGCCCAGAGTCATCCACCCTCTCCTGTGCCATGTGGCCACAACCTGCGCTGGGCAGAGCAAGGGAGGGGATTTGTGCCTGTGAATTCCTCTGTGGTGTCAACAGTTTGGAGCTCTGGACCTCTGTAGTTAACCGGGAGAGGTCACAAAGATGGCACACACTCTGAAACGTGGGGGCATGCTGAGGCTGTGCTGGACTCGAGCTCAAGGTGAATCTCTGAGGTTCTGGTGGGGCTTTTGCCAAGGCCTTGGTGCCAGTGTCATCCTGCCTGTGTAATTCCCCCACCCACTTAATTTATGTACTCCTTCCTTCTCTTGTCCTTTCTTGCTACATTTTGAGCTGTCCAGAGCTGTAAGTCGGCATTTGTCGGTGTTCAAACTGGATCTTCTGGTCTCCAGGCGTTGGCAACTGGACTTCTCATGGCTAATACTGGCCCGAAATGCTGTAGCTATCAGAACGAGAAAAACTATTTGCAGTAGCCTTGGTTTAACAAAGCACTTAAGGTGCTTGGCTGGGCACACCCTGAAAAGGAAATCTGTGCTGAAGTGCTGTCCCTTATCTGGGACGCTTACCTGAGATGAGGTCAGACTGATGCAAGGGCGCTTGCTTCTCTGGGAAGCTAGTTTGTTGACCCGGGAATGTGCGTTTTTCACGGGATCGCTTCGCGGCTTACGAATTGATGGTAGCGGTCCTACGGGCCCCGTCCCTTGCACAGGGGTCGCTCGGTCTGTAAAACCGAGTCGAACCATTGAAAGCCTCCTGAAGGAGCTCTGCATAGACAAAAGCATTCTTTCTCCCCTGCTTCCCCCTCCGGGGACAAGCGAGTGTTTTCCTTGCAGTTTAGTGCCAGCGTATTATCCAGATGGATTTACCTCTGTCTGAAACAAGGTGTACATGTATTTTGGAGGAGATCATTACCTGCTGCCTTGGTTTTACTGCTGCCTTGTTTTGTCTAGACAGTGCAGAGAGCTGCAGGGAACTTGTCCGATCTGAATCCTAAGACCTATTTTATAGGCTGCTATTAAAATACATATCCTCGCACGTAACCATCCTGGGGCCGAGCTGCTTGTGCTGTGTGTGCGGCGAACGCAGAACCACTGAACAAGCAGCAAGCTGCCGTTCTTGCTGTACTGAACCCTGTGTGGACCAAACCCGAATTTCAGAGGAATCCTTTGGCAGGAGAAGGCTTTGCTCTGCTTGGTAACGGCAATTCAGAGCTGAAGTTTCTCTTCCTTTTCTCTGGACTGGCAGAGAAGTGTTTTTCTAGAAACTCCTTAATTCCCCTTTCGCTCCGTGCCGGAAGGAGCGGTAGGCACTGGCGGGAGGCAGCGGGGACGCTGCTGGGAGGGGAGCCTGGCGTGGGGGACTCTGAGGAGGTGCAGGAGGATGAGGAAGGGGCTGGGAGAGGGCAGGGCTGCTCTGACGGAGCCCGAAACCTCCCTCGGGGGCCTGTGGCTGGGGGGGGCAGCCTGGGGTGCTGCTTTGATCCTCGCTGGTGCCGCTCCTGAGGACCTAGCTGGTTTCCGAGTAACCACTTGTGTTCTGCTTCCATTGACAGTTGCTTCTCCTCTCTCTCTCTTTTCTCTCCTGCCTTTCCTCCTAGAAATTTCGAGTAGATATGCCAGGATCAGGCAGCGCTTTCATCCCTACGATCAACGCCATCACAACTAGCCAAGACCTGCAGTGGATGGTCCAGCCCACCGTCATCACCTCCATGTCAAGCCCTTACTCTCGCTCGCACCCCTACAGCCACCCGCTGCCCCCGCTGTCTTCAGTGGCCGGACACACGGCCCTTCAGCGACCCGGTGTGATCAAACCCATCGGGACCACCGTGGGACGCAGGCGAAGAGATGAGCAGGTAACCACGGCGGCGAGAGCGGCTGGAGGTGCCTCAGAAACAGGCATACAGAGATTTCTTCCCCCCCCCGCCCTCGCACGGGGTCTCCCGGCCCCACGGGGAGCGTTGAGGTCTGTCCCCTGCGTTGTAGAGGTGCTGGGGATTCTCAGGGCGACGTAGGGTGTGAGCTGGAAGGTGATTTTATTGCTGCTTCCTCACCGACAGCGAGACTTGCCCAATCTCCATCAAACGCTTCACACCACTGGGCCGCATTGCGTCTCGGTTTCAAAAGCAGGTGAAACTCAAGTCGAGCCCTGGGTTTCAGTTTGAGTGTCTCTACCACTCCAGGCAGAAGGAAACCTCTGAGCAACCAGAGGAGCTTTTACGTAGGTCCTTTACAAAACTGACACCCAAATTACATCAGCTGGTGTTTTATATCTGCTCTGTGGGAGCTGCTCCAGTCGCTCTTTTGGGTGATACCAGTGGTACCAGCCAGCATTGTGCAGGGAGGAGCAGCCTCGCTACAGCACCTCGACTCTAGTAGCAAGCGTGTTCTGTGTACGTCTGGCATCTAAATCCACCTTCCCACTACAAACATACAATTGCTTGGTGGCTTTGCAGCAGGGAGGTGGGGAATCCCACAAGCAGAAATTTTTATGCTCCCAACTGAGTGGCATTTCCATAGCCAGGATGGGGTGGCTTGTGCCACTGCTGCCCCATGCTCAGCCTCCTGTTGGGATTACTGAGCCAGGACCCTGGATCCTGTGCTGGGGCAGGGTGGTGGACTGTATGCACCTGTCTTATCTTCTAGAAATTCTTTCAGCTGATGAATCTGTTTTTGGTAAGAAAAAGCCTTCTCCAGGCCTGTCTGGTGAATAGCTATCCACAGTGCTAGGCTGATTTCTTTAAAAAAACAAAAAACAAAACAAAACAAAAAAAACAAAAAAAAACAAAAAAAAAAAAAACCAAAAAAAAACAAAATTCAAAATAATTAAAATCTGCCCAAATTCTTCC